ATAGATCTATTTTGATTTCATTGATCACATTTATTTTATTATTGAATTTTGATATCTTTCTTATTCATATTAATTGATGGTTGATATTAACTATAACTGAAACATACATATTAATTATTTTGACTTGCATTGAAAACACTGATAGATTTTGGTTACATGCTGAATTTTCAGGTCATTATATGAATTTTAATTATTTTAGGTTAGGAAAATGTTCAGGATCATGAGTAGTAATATTAATAATGATCTTAAGGTTCTTTAGATTTTGTTCTACATTTTTTTTTATTCTTTTATAGTCAAGAGCCTGTGATCGATTAGTGATTGTAGTAATCTCATGGCTAATGTAAATAACATTATAGTGAATGAATAGTAAAAATGTTTTGATGTATATGATTTTAATTGCCTTCACTGATAATTATTTATATTGATGATTTATAGAAGCTCTAATATATTTTAAAATGACAAATAGACAATTCTTCCAAATTTGATATCTGGGCATTACAATATGTCTATAAAACTTTGGTGAAATCAATTTGAAAAGTAGACACCTAATGGTCCAGAAACCACTTTGTACCGACATGTGTTAGTTTTCTACGTACACTGCTCATAAATTTAAGAGAAAATAGTCATAATTAAATTACAATAATATTTATATTATGACGAAGACGGTTTGCAAGTTAGGCTTATAATGACTCCTAAAAAAGTATATGACTGACTCAAAATATTGACTATTACAATCACTATCAAAGTCTACTCTCATTTTCGCCACAAATGACAATGCTCGTCATCTCCAAATAGTCATCATTGACAACTCTTACACCCTCAAGGCTCATACCTTTTATCATGAAAATAATCCACCAAAATTCCCGTCTACTATATTATAATAATTCTTCACCAATTATGAGAAAATGCACCATTTGTAATACACGACTTACACTAGTTAAATCATTTCAACTATGTGAAACCCCATTGTTTTTTCCGTATGACTTTTCAATATTAAAAGTCTTTAGTATCATATGACATGATCATAACTTAAGTCTCTTTGTGCTTATAAAATTTTTGTACAATACTAAAATGATAAGCCCTCTCGTCATCGCTGCCAATATTCCATCGCTACACTATTTGCTCGATAATCATAATTTATATATCGATTGCGTAGAATTTTAAGTGCCAGTGACTCGAAAATGAATTCACACGATTTCTTGGACTCTTTTTGCATGATATTTAATAAGCATTTCATTTGAGGGCAAATTATTATCAATTTGGTAGTCCCAATCTCCAAATAGCTAGATCATAAGTACTTGCGATCCATAAGAGCATATCTTTTGACAAACTCCTTGTAATTAATTACCCTGACCTAAATCCCATAGATGATTAGCTGTCTGTGAGCCATTAACATGAAAATATGATAAAAAAATGAATGATGCAATAAGCCATTGGTAGGATGGAAAAACAAGGAGGAACAAGCCAGCAAAGCACATTCGGTTGTTTGCATTATGAGCAAACCTCACATGGTTCTTTAACTTCATTAATTTATTTCCATTTTCTTAAGCTACATATTAAGAAAACACACCAAAATTTTCTCTCTCTGACATATTCGGGTGGGAACCCCTCATACCGAGTTCGATTCCCTCAGGCGGCAGTCGCCTCTTAAGTGGGGGCCGTTAAAGCACTGGCTACGGGTACAACATAGGCGTGGGTGGCCCAGTAGGTTAGCCGGGGTTTACGGACTGCCAAGCGCCCTGGCCAAGCCCAAGTGGCAGCAGACGATTCCTCGTCAAAAAAAAAAAAGTCTCTCTCTATGCATCTTAGAGAGAGAGAGACTTATTACTTGCATGACATGATCTAGATATACATTTATTATTGCATATATTGAATCTTGATGCGCACATCAAAAAGTTGGAACACTGGTGATATTATTCTTCCAGATATCCTGGCCCCTGGCATGTGCTGAATTACCAGTACTTGTCAATTGATTGCAAAAAAAAAGAAAAAAAAAAATCCTAAATGATTGAGAATTAGGAACTTCATAACAAATTTAGGATAGTTTTGGAAGTGCTGCAATTTTTTATAAAGATAATTATTAGAGAGAAAATAATTTTTTTAAATGCTAATATTGAAAGCAGATTCATAGGAAAAAAAATTATTGAAAGCAATGAAATAACAACGGCTAAATAAAAATTATGTTTGTAATCAAAAAAATAAACTAGTAAGAAAAATGTCTCAAACAAAACCTTAGAGCCTATTTGAGGAATTTTTATTAGGTCCGGACACCTGACGTAGCTCTATATCCGGACGCCAATAAAATGTCGCCACGTGCTCTTACTCTTTACCGCGCGGCCCGATGACCTGACCTGGAACGAAAACCCGGTATTGCTATGTTCGTGTATTGCTAGGTATTGCACTATTGCTTGACAATAATGAGAAATACCATTATGTCAAGACCAATACCGAGCAATACCTAGCAAAATCGGGGTATTGCTCGGTATTGCTAGGTATTGTTAGGTATTGATCTTGACATAATGGTATTTCTCGTTAACGAGCAAAACCTAGCAATACCCTGGTCTGTACAAATCAGCTAATACAAAGCAATATTGGGTTTCGGTCCGAGTCGGGTCGTCGGGCAGCGCGGTAAAGAGTAAGAGCACATGACGACATTTTATTGGCGTCCGGATGTAGTAGAGCTACGTCAAGTGTCCAGACCTATTAAAAATTCCTATTTGAGGCAACTATAACTTTTTTTCATAAAAGTGATTGTAAAATTACAGTGGAAAAAAATAGCTTTTTCAAAGTTGCTTATTTCCAACACAAAAATTTATTGAAAGCAGTGAAAAAAATATTAGCCAAACAAAAATAATGATTACATACTAAAAAATAAAGCACTAAGAATTGTCCAAAATGAAGCTTTAATTTAATATTATCAAAGCATAAAAAAAATAATCTGTTATGTATGGTGATAATGGGTTGAGTTATAATGTGCCCACTTTAATTATTCTCTAAACATTTTTTTTTAATTTTTGGATCAAGCCAAATTTGAATGAACAGTTAATGATTTGTTTGAACTGATTTGGTCCAATTGCATTGCTTCTTGTTTCTAAATACATATTGATGCTTTTTCGTAAAATTAATGTATAAAAAGTGAAAGATATAAAAAAATGCGTGAGGGCCTGCCTATTCATAGAATTTTTATTAGGTCCGGTGTCCTGACGTAGCTCTACGTTCGGACGTCAGTAAAATGGTGCCACGTGCTTTTACTCTTTACCTCGTGGCTCGACGACTCGACCCGGACCGGACCCGGGATTGCTATGTATTGGCTGATTTGTGCATACCGGGGTATTGCTCGATATTTCTCGGCAATAACGAGAAATATCATTCTATGAAGACCAATACCTAGCAATACTCCGATTTTGCTAGGTATTGCTCGGTATTGGTCTTCACAGAGCGGTATTTCTCGTTATTGTCAAGCAATACCTAGCAATACCGAGCAATACCTAGCAATACGCGAACATAGCAATACCAGGTTCCGGTCCGGGTTGAGTCGTCAGGCCGCGCGGTAAAGAGTAAGAGCACGTGACGACATGTTATTGGTGTCCGAACGTAGAGCTACGTCAGAACACCGAACCTAATAAAAATTCCTATTCATGTTAGCTGGTTCACTCAATATTGAAACAAAGGGGCTAAAAAAGCTTACACAAACAGCCGAAAGAAAGAGATTCACAGCCACTCTGAACCAGCAAACCTTTGTCTCGCCCAACTACCGATGCAAATAAAATAAAATAAAATGTAAGGATGTTATGATTAGAAAATAATAATAATAGACTTTAAAGCCATTAGAATTATTCTGATATGAATGCAATGTATAAATAATTTATATAAAACGTAAATAAAAAAAAATCAAAATTTTAATGTCTATTTTTAATAAAAAATTTGAGTAGAATGCAACAATAATAACATGAAGCCTTTATCACACTATGTGGGATCGGCTACATAAATTCTTTTTCTTCATTGTATTTTCTTAAGAGTCAAATTCTCATTTAAATATAATAAAATAAGGTTATTTCTAATATTTTTTAACCAAATCTTTTAAAAAAGATCAAATCTAATACATTTACTCCCCTTAGCGATTCATCAGAAGGTTGACGTTTTATTTGACCAAACCATCAAAAGTGACTCTCTCTAATCCTATCTGCCATTAGAGCTACTCCATCCTTTTCACGTATATGCTTGTTTGACATTTTATCTCTAAAACTAAAGTCACTCGTCCACCTGAGCATCCTCAACTCTGCAACACTTAATTATATGTTTCTCTTTTAATTTGATCATAATATTATTACATAATTTTTTTCTTATAATTTTCTTAAAAATGTTCCTCCAAAATTTTTTTACCACAATCAAATGGATTATAAACGGCCTTAATATCACAACCTATCAGTATTTTACTTGTGCTGTTCTTAGGCCTAATAAAGAGTGTTTTATGTTCAAATTTTGTTTGAATATATTTTTATTTTAACTACAAAAAAGATACTTCATATATAGAGATACATCGCAGAAAAATATGTGGAAGAAGATTTTGCTTTATTTTTCTATGAAGCTGGTTTTCTACATTAAAATTTAGTTACTTTAAATTGATTAAAATTTGAGCCATCACCGTACAAATTTCAAATTTTAATCACTTTAAACAGCCCTATTTCCTCTCTCATTTGAGATGAACATTCCTTAATCTACTCAACACTCTATTAATCAAGATTAAGATTTCATTTGAGACGAATTTCTTCCTGTTTTTTGAAACAATTTTTTATTACAAAAATTAAATCCGTCCCAAATTTTTGTACTAAAAAATTATTTTAAAAAGCAGTAAAAAATCCGTCCCAAACAAAACCTAAATTTAGAGCTCAGCTAACAAATGAAAGCACCGCATGATTCAACGACTGTAGCTTACAGAGGTAACCATCATAAAATAGCAGATTAATATAGAAGTGGCTCAAATAAAATCATTCTTCACATTCACCTGCCCAACTGTTCTCATACCTAAACAAGTCTTCTATCTGCATTCATCTATGAACAAAAAAGACCCAGCTCTCACACAATGAGTTGCTTCTGCTTGCAGCTGCTACTGGTTTCATCTTCTGTAACAAAGCAATGCACACTGGAAGGAGTGTGAGGGTTAGCCATTTTCATCTCTCTCTCAAGGATTGAGCAGTAAGAGCCGAACACGATCGGTGTCACATTGAGATCGAATCGCAAACCGAATAAGAAATCGATCTCCAAGTGGTTCATCTCAGCCAGACTGATCCCTCCCACCTTAGCAAAATATGCATTGTTGTAGCATCTATAACCAAGAAAATTAAGAAACATAATCACTAAATATCCCTAAAATGATCTCTTTATAATGCAAATGACTTCTTAATTTTATTTCATTTGAAGATATTTGTAGTTAAGGAGGAGCATCAATGGCACCTAACATGTAAGTAGCCTGTAACAAGTGGGCCAAATGCTACTTTCTTTTAAAATTCTCTTACTTGATGACCTCAATGATTAGTTATGAAGCGTTATCATGATAATTACAGGATTAACTTTTCTTTTATTTTTCTTCTTATTGTGTATGGACCATTAACAGAAAAGGATGACAATGCATGGGTGGGGTTGCCACTTGCAAGCCATGATTATTACGGTTCTATGAAGGAAGGAAACAAATTTATGTTTTTTATTAAGTTTTTTTCTCAATTCAGCTCTAATGGTATGAGAATTTAGAGAAACGATTTTTTATTTTTTTTGGAAAAGTTAAGTAGGCATCGCACAATAGTTGTCAAGTTGGACAGTTGAGAAAGTAGGAACCCATGAAAGGTACTCAGCAAGCAGTAGACAGCAAAAACTCTGCTGTTTGCAGTGTGTTTCTCAGCTGGATTGTTACAGCTAAGAAAATTTTATTGGAGAAGACAAAGAAGCTTGCAGAGAAATTGTAAATACAAAATATGGCTAGAAAACCTTAGAAATTCAACCTAAAAAAATAAAAACAAGAATATGAAAAAGGAACAAAGCAAAATCTCACATTCTAAATCACAAAAAAAAAAAAACCTCTTTTGAATATCAAATTTTTTGTGGGAAAAGTTAAGTAGGAATCACACAATAGTTGTCAAGTTGGACAGTTGAGAAAGTAGGAACCCATGAAAGGTATTCAGCAAGCACTAGACAGCAAAAACTCTGCTGTATGCAGTGTGCTTCTCAGCTTGATTGTTACAGCCAAGAAAATTTTATTGGAGAAGACAAAGAAGCTGGCAGAGAAATTGTAGATACAAAATATGGCTAGAAACCTTAGAAATTCCACCTTAAAACTAAAAACAAGAATATGAAAAAGAAACAAAGCGAAATCTCGCTTTCTAAATCACAAAAAAAAAAAAACCTCTTTTGAATATCAAATTTTTAAAAAATACTGTAAAAGAGAACAGAAAACTGAAAACAGAGCTCACCTGTCATCTATGAACTTAACAGCAGTAAGAACCGCAGTGATAAGGAAGCGATGAACATTAAAAGAGTCGACAGAAATTGAGGGATGAAGAAGGAGGAAACGATCAAGGTAGATGTATGCAACCACAAAGCAGGAGGTACTGCAATGAGCAAAACGAAATATGCGTTCCAGATAGCAAGCGATGGAGATTTCTGGTTTCTCAAGGCCGAAGAAGGCGGAAATCGCGCTTGCTGGAGAGTAATGATGAAGGCCGGTGGCAGTCAGATCATCGTTCCAGTTGGCAACGCGCTCGAGGAGAGAGGAGAGAATGGAGATAACGCGAGGGAAGCCATTGTGGTCTTTGGTTATCAGGAAGGCTTCTGCCATTGTTGCTGGCCCGATTGATTTAGCTGTGGAGCAGGGAAGAAGGAAAACAGGGGAGGAACAGGGGAAGCTCCTCTGTTTTAAAGCCGGATGGAAGGGAGATATATATCTTGATCTGTAGTTCTGTACCGTATCTTTATTTATTATTCTTATCATATCGGTCTACAGTAGAAAATTATTGAAGGGTATAGCTTCCCTGTGTTAAAACTATTTTTTGCACAACTGCGAATAATTTTTATTTAAGGCACGCTAACTAAATTTGCAATAATAGCAATAGGAATATTTCAATAAACTGACTTATTAATAGAGTTATATATTATTCACAAATAAATTTGAATCCAATAATTAAAATATTTTTATTATTGTTAGGTCTATTTTGATTATAAATTTATTAAAATTGAGATTAAATAATCTTAAATTTAATTTCAATGATTTCTAAATTAAATATGAAGTCAATATTTATTTCTTAAGAAAATCTAAATTTAACCTGATTTTAAAGAAGTACATATATATAAACGGTTCATTTTGATATATTAGTTGGGAGCTGTGACTATCAACTAAGAGATCTTGAATTTAAGTGCTACGTACGTATGATAATATTATTTTTGAGAGAGGAAAAACTTCATCAAGTTGGACTTCTTTTCCTCTCATGAGAGAGATTTATTCATTTTAGTAGAGATTTAATCATCGATATATGAAGAATAAAAATATATTTTTTTAATTTCATTTTATTGACATTTCACAAAGAAATTGTTTTAAATATGAATAATAATTCCTTAAGCATGAACTATTATATATCAGAAATCTTCTCTATCATATCAACAAACTCTATCTGAATTCATTATGTATGTTCCACAATTGTTAGGCTTCTTAAAGTAGTTTTTTAGTATAATTTTTTACTAAAATATAGATTTATGGAGCAATGAAAAAGCAGTCTCAAATGAAGCCTTAGGACATCTCCAATGAATCCGCAAACACTCGTTTGCGGTGCTTTAGAAGGATCCCACCTGTGCTCCCTTCCTCTTGTCCAAACCTGGCGACTGGCTGCTCACGTACACAAGCCAATCGATCCAACATGCTCTCTGTTTCCTGAAGCCAACTACTCCAATCCTGGTTCCAGCTGAGCTCGCCTCCACTTAGGCAACATAAACCCTCTACTCAGCCCAATATTCCCCTAAATTTCTCCCTCACGTGAAGCTTCAGTTGTCGAGTGGTCGAACCACCTGCTGAACCCAAATCACCCAACAACCATCTTTCTACATTAATATTTTTTTAAAATAATTATTATTGTTATTAGTATTAATATTACTATTATCAAGTAAAAAAAAAAAAAAAAAAAGGCAAAGAAAGGAGAAGTAAAAAAAAAAAAGAATAAATAAAAAATAAAAGAAAAGAAAAGAGAAGAAAGAAATATTTGCATTTTGTGATCATCGTCACCGTTGCCTCAATCTCGTCATCGCCGCCACTTCGCTCAGGTATAAATGGCTCATAACCCTAAAAACTCCAAATCTCGCTCGCGGCGTGCCAGGGGACCACCCATACATGTTCTTCGTAGCGTGGTGGGAGGGAGCTCGATTCAGCGCTTGCGGCTAGGCGGGTAGGCCTTGTACATACTCTACGTAGCATGACGGGAACAACCCTAAGTATCGGTACATGTGTTGCCATGCAGGTGGGTAAAAAATTGTGCTTTTCAAACATGTGGCTTGAAAGACCCATGCACTCTCTTCGTAGCGCGGTGGGCTTAAAAAAACCCACGACCGCAATGCCACCCAACACTCACCATACACACTTTTTATAGCGTGGTGAGAAGGCCCAGCTCCCAAAAAATTTCCCCTAAATGAGGAGATGGTGTGAGACTGCTGAAATCCGAACTAAACATAGGACTTGAATTTGAATCAAATAAAAAGGGGCTTAAAGTAAAATGAACACCATGGAACCAAACTTAAGTCAAACGACATGGAACATCACTTTAAATTAACAAACACATGATCACAACGAAAATTCAAACATTATAAAGCAAGTTCATTCAAATGAATGTCAATGAGTAATACATAAAATAAGTGTTGAACCAAACCCCAAACATGATTTGCTTGTCATTATTGACCTCATTATTCGAGGTCAATTTCCCCGATTCAATCTTTAGCGCATAGGTCTTCGTAACTTAGTGTAGATGCAACCCATAGGATTTCTCTTAGATGGATACCCATTAACGTAGCGGTGACTCAACTTCCTAATTTAGCCTAAATCGACACTACTCTAAACAAAATTGATTAGAGCATGAATTTAATGTAACGATATAAGCTTCTACCTGATTCAAATTGATTTTCCTCAATTTAATTGAATCCAAATAATTGTAAATGAGATAAAATTAATAAATTTAAAATTATTTTTTATTTAAAACTAATATAAAATTGATACGTCATGCAAAAATTATCTTGATCGGGCACGAATCTCGAGGCAAAACCAACCCGAAAACTTCAAAAAATAAATCTGTAAGCACCTGAACTTCGATTTCAGTAAACTTATAATCAAACTGAGCGTCTCGGAAATACAAACCCAACGACATCAAATCCAACTCAATCCGAGCCCAAATAAGCCCAAATCAAGCGCCCGAAGTGCTGTTGGAAAGCTCGTACCACAGTTTGAGTTACCAAACGGTCTTCGATTTTAACGAGCTTATAGTCGAATCGAGCAGCTCGACGAGACAAATCCAACGAGCCCAAGATCGCCGAATTCCAACATCACTAAGGCCTTCAAATATCCAATGAACGGTGCACAATCAAAGGATTCAATATCAGCCGTCAATTCAACCACTCCCTATTCACCCCTGATCTCGCGCCTATTCACGAGCTATGCCACTTCAAAAAAACTATAAATATAGCCCTTATTCTTCACAAGAGGGGACAGAAGCAAAGATAAGAGAAGAAGGAGGAGAATCAGCTCCTCCACGACCACCGCCGGAGTTCTTTCCGCCGCCTGAATAAGCCAGAATTCTGCCGGATATTCGGGAGACGCCGGAATTCTGCATAACTTTGTAACTGAATTTCAATTGAAGAAACTTTTTGTAATCTGATCGTCCTAACTTGTGAGACGAACCTGTCTCTATACTTCAAACAAACACTAGTGTAATTATTTCAACTGGGCGTGACCCCGTGGTTTTTCCCCTTTTCAGAGTTTTCCACGTAAAAATCATTGTGTTTATTTTCCTTTCCTGTTTGTGTGCTGAATATTCCTACAACGCTAAGACAAAAGTATTTTAACTCTATCGCCGCGTATATTCTAGCCCGAAACATAAATAATTATTTTAAATTATCAATTATATTCTAAATTAATCCCTGAATCATTCTTAAGCTTTGAATTACAAATCAACTCTCGATTTTATCTTTAAATCATGATTAATCTGAACTGTCAATTTGAATGGGAATACATTTGAGTAAGGCACCTTTAGGACCGGTTGAGCCAGGTTAGGGCCGGTTCAAAGACGACCCCGTCTCCTCCGCAAATCGCGAACTACCCTCCCTCTCAGCTCGCAAGAACCCAGGCGAAACCGCCATCATCCCGTGGCCCCTCTTCCAGTTCGCGAACTACCCCAGATCTCTCGGCAGTTCGCTCCCCTCCAGGTGATACGCACGAACACCCCCCCTCTCTCTCTCTCGCACTCTCTCAAGTTCGGAAATCCCCTCCAAGCCTACATCCATCGCTCTTTCCCCCGTTGGCGTGAGCAGCCCCAGTCGCACCCTCCGATTCCAGGCAGGCGGAATCCCCCATTCGCACACCTCCAGGCCGCACCTCCCTCTCGCGGGTCTCCGACACCGATCGCTAGCCCTAGCCGCAGACCTCCACGGTGGACGTCGAGACGGCGAGAGAAGGCCTGCGCGAGAGGGAAGGGTCCGTTCGTGATTCGCGACTGCATCTGGCATCGGGAGATCTAGGTAAGTTGAGAAGCGATTTTTGATCTTCTTTGCTTAGGAATAGATAATGGCTGCTGTTATTTTTCTTTTCTCCCTCTTAATGACAAAGAATATACTTCTTCTTCTTCTTTTGAGGATTTGATTAGCTTTTCTAGCATCTAACAATTTACTTTAGATTTTCTTGGTAAATAGTTGACAGATTTTTGTATTTTTATTTATCTATATGTTTTTCTTTCTTATTGCAACCATCTTCAAGATTTCAGTAATTAATTAGGCCTTTAATCCAAAAAATATACTTCTTCTAAATCCATATTTTTTTTTCAGTTTAGATGTATACAGTTTACTTAATTACTTGTGTACGGGTAATTAATCATTTTGACTTCAGTAATTTGATTTCAGTAATTAATCATGGCAAACCACATGTTCTAAACTATAGAAGTTTAACTTTTAAGCATTTTGACTTCAAGATAATCTATATACAGTTTACTTAATTTCAAAAAAATGTGTTTGGTAATTGGGTTGAAAGGAAGAGAAAAATAGATTGATAAAATTGTAATGATTTTCAATTTTCCTATCATAATGGAATAGAATATTTCACTTTGAATTATGTCCTCTTTTTTTTTATATTAGTCTATTACTAAGAAAATTTTGCCCCCCCTAAGATGAAAGGCTGGTTCCGCCCCTGACTCTACCTCGTCTCTTTCTATCTGTTGGGGAAACCCAGGCCGATCCCCCACATATCTCCTGCGACAGCCGGATCGCGATCTCCTACGGCGTGCGGGATTTCGGCGGAGCCGATTCGCAACTATTGGTATAAGGTCGAATTCTTTTCTTTTCTTTCACTGTTTCCATAGAAATATAGAATGACAAAGGTTTATCACTGGTTTCTTCACCTCTTTCATGTAAATTATTGCTTTGTCCCAATTGCGATTAAGTTCAAGCGACTGCAGTTCATTCTTGTTTCTAGAACTCCAATGCATTTTGTATAGAAATCTGAAGTTTTCTGTGTGATAATGACATCCGTGGCTTTCCCAATGATGGTGCATTGTAGATTGGTTCACTTGCAGATAGTTTTGTTCTTAACTCAAATAACCTTGAGTTTATAAGTTTAATGACTGCATTATTCTATTTGAATTACTTTAGTGGCCATATCGGAGAGCTTGTATGCGCAAACATGATTCAAATATTTTATATATTTGTGACAGTGAAGGGTTTGAGAAGTTATTAGATGGGTTATAGGCATTGAAGTATAAAATCACTACTTGGCAAGCATTCTCATATCCTTTATAAAGTGTTTTGGAGAAGAGTTGGAGATTTTCAGGTGCTTCAAATATAAGTTTTAGCATAGACCCACATATGATATTACTTCGTAATTGTTGGAATACTTGCTTGCATTTTGAAAAGAGTAAAGTTCTATCAGTTCTTCTATTTCTTCTAAATTACATCTGATGAAAATTTTTGAGTTGGAAATGTGATCTTTGCATTGCTTTGCTTAAATCAAGTGGGTGATTTTGAAAGGTAGAGCGTCTTGAAAAGAATATATATTGAATGGTGAAATATATGAACTTTAAATAGTGAAAAGTGTAATTTTGGAGCGGTAAGATGTGAAAATTTTGGGAAAATAAAACGTGTATGGGAAGAGTAAATGTATGGTTTTGTAGGAAATATGTGTATGGTTTGAAAAACGAATTTTGTGATTTGGGAAAGTTAAAAGTATATGTTTTCTTTGAATGGTAAAGTGTATGAATTTTTGAAAAAGTGTCTGTGTTGGGAAGTGCGTCAAGTTTGATTTGAAAAAAGAAATGATGTATATATAAGTTAGAAAGAGAAAGTGAAGTGTTTTATAATTGAAATTGAGGTGTGGGTGTTGAAGAGCCAGTTAATCGGGTGATTATTAAAAAAAAAATAGAAAGTACTTAAGAAAATAGAATTCCTCTCTCTCTCCCCCCTTCAACTTTCTTGTGCCCGGGGTGAATGTTGGAAAAATGAAGTTGCTTTCAAAAGGAAAAATATTCCAAAAGCAAAGTCTACAAGCCAGTGTGCAAGCCCGAAGAAATGTACGTTTTTCTATATTATCTTTACTAAAATTTAATTAATTCATTATTAATTATTAAATGTGCTTATAATACATGTTTTTTCTTATTTATTTGCATGAACTACGAGTAATGGTACCGGTGAGTGAACAAAAGGACAAGAGACTAAAGGTGTCAGTCGCCTCCATCCAACCGAGTGGAGGTGCTACGGGCGGAACCACCGGGTTGTAACTCCCGGTAACTGTAACTATTCTAAAACTTAGAAAGCCCCTAGGAGGCCCTTGGTGTGGCTTATGCAAACCTTTCCCCTTTTGGTCATTATAATAACTTCAATTTCATTAGGATTATTTTTATCTTATTTTAGATCCTTAAACCCCTTTTACATGTGTACAATGTCTTAAGGGTTAGTGATAACAAACTTTTTCATCCCATATAATATTAGTTACATTTAAGGACAAAAGTTAAGAACTAAGTCTTAGAAAATTTAGAGTTAGGATGCATGCACATTTTAGGGTAGAAACATAAAACATAGAAAACTTAGTGACACCTCACCTTAGGATTAGTGAATACCTTTAACTTAAATGCAATCAATTATAAATAATAATCAAAATAGTTATTAAAATCCTATTTTAAGAATTAGAAATCATAACTATAAACAATAATTTCAATCAATATAAATCAAACATATAAAATGATAAATAACATATATTGTTTAAAAAAAGTAAATCAACCATTAAACTGAAAAATAAAATAGATATGTAATGTAATCTTAAAAATCATAAATTGAATTAACGTAATTTGATAACATATATTTACCTTTTTTTCTTTGTTAGGCACCTCCCCACCTGCGGATTATGACATACCACTTGGTCTATGAGGGTGCAGCTCTGTCAGGAGATGTTGTGCAATCTCTAGGGAAAAATTTATTTTCTAAGCTTAATTTTAAAACTGCTTCATACTTATTGTATGTATTCGAGTCAATCAGCATGCATTGCATTAGATACAAATTGAAAGAATAAAATATTAATTGCATTTTATTTCTAGGCATCATTCACCCCACATATGCTGAGGGGCCAATTAGGATCTGTCTCAGATATCGGCTCCTAATTCCTTAAAACTTAAGCAACGTCCTTACCCATCTTTCATAAAGAGACTGGACACATGGGTTTAAAGTGCCTAAGTGGTTAGCTGGCTCCCCAATTCAGGCCGGGGTAAGTCCAAATTTGCACTTCATTAGTTAGGTTCGGGTTACTACTTTGTAGTGCCCAAATTAGATTTAGGTTCTGAGGCATATTTTTTTAAAATTTTAAGTCCTCGCCCTCCGAGAATATAATCTCAAATTTCTAATAAAATATTAACTTAAACATAAAAAATTCTCTCCTAAAATGTAAAGCCCAATATAGGATAGACTGAGGTTGCCTCTGAGCTTCTAAGAATATGACACCTCCTTTTTCTCATTTGACTCGTTAATAAATATTCAACATTGAACTTTCTCCTTGAAAAATTCCTACTTATGTTCCTTATCTTTTACTTTGTAGTTAAAGAGTATGAAATCACTGTTTTAATCGAGAGTTTTCTTATGAGCATCACTCTTAGGATATAATTAATTATAGGGGTTTACCCTTATAGGGATTTGAGAACCCCAGATTAAAATAAACAATGTTTTATTCCTTGAAAACAAGGAAAAAATCTTTAGGAACGCATATTTCTTTTAAAAACTTTATTTCTAATTTTAAATATACTTATATAATAATATTATTATCTTTCTAGGTAATATAATATTCTATTTTGTTATATTCAATTTTAGAAATAATAAATTTTATAAAACTCATTCTTTCTTTTGGACATTTTAAAGAATGTTATGCTCGTCTTTAGATCCAAGTTCACTTTTACGGCATCCTATTGACTTCTGACATAAGTTCGCTTTTACGGCAGCCATTCTGGTTAAATCCGTCTTTAGGTCTAAGTCCGCTTTTACGGCATTCTATTGACATTCTTGAAGTTAGGTGTAAGTAGCCACTTGGTGGCATCCTAATCTCCATCCCGAAGTGAAGTATAAACATCCCTAGCGACATCTTCTCTTCATTAAATTTTAAATCTTAAATTCGTTTTTAGGTTTAAGTCCTCCTACGGCATCCTATCGACATCCTTGAAGTTAGGTGTAAGTAACCACTTGGTGGCATCCTAATCTTCGTCCCAAAGTGAAGTATAAGCATCCCTAGAGACATCTTCTTTTCATTAAATTTTAAAATTTAAATATATCTTTAGGTATAAGTCCTCCTATGACATCCTATCGACATCCTTGAATTTAGGTGTAAGTACCCACTTGGTGGCATCCTAATCTTCGTCTCGAAGTGAAATATATGCATCCCTGGTGGCATCTTCTATTTATTAAATTTAAAATCTTAAGTTCGTCTCTAGGTATAGGTCCTCCTACGGCATCCTATTGACATCTTTGAAGTTAGGTGTAAGTACCCACTTGGTGGCATCCTAATCTTCATCCCGAAGAGAAATATAAGCATCCTAGCGACATCTTCTTTTCATAAAAAATTTAAAGCCTAGATCTTCTAAGTTTAGTGGTATACATTCACACATGTTTCATTTTCCTTAGAAGATGCCCTCTAGTTTGTTGAGTTAGGTGTAATAGCCCACTCGGTGGCATCCTTCCTCTTGGACTAGAAAGAAGACTTTGGTCTTATCAAAATCACATCAACTCTTACATTCCTGTCAAAATACATTCAACTTTTCCTTATCTTGACTTTACCAAATGATACTAATCTCCTAGTTATTATTTGTTAAAGCCATCATTGCCGTTGTAAACTTTTAAATTAATTAAACAATCTAGATCTTTCAATCAATCAACTCAAATCTTTCTAAACTTTTATCTTGATTTTCTATCAAACATCAAAATCCCTTCATTTCATATACTCAAATGCTAAATTTCAATTTTGGACCTAGTTTATTGTTTCGGTCAACACCAATACGCACGATAAACTTTGGCAAATTTATCATGTATATTGGGGATCCATTTGTTGACCTCATTATTCGAGGTTAATATTCCCTATGCCGACTCTTAGCATATAGGTCTTTGTAGCCTAGTGTACGCCACCTTCAGGATTTCCCCTTAGGTGGACACATAGTGACGTAGCATTGACTCGACTTGATAACTCGATCTAAATTAAAATCAATTCAATCCAAATTTAATTCAACTCCAAAACTAAACCCAAATCAACTCATCTAAAACCAGTTAAAATCAAATCAACATTAATTGCGATAAATTGATTAAATCAAATATTTTAAAATCAGCTAAATAAAATCAAAATTAATATTCATTAAACTTGATATTAAGTGGATTTAATTTGATCAAATTGATTATAACCATGGTTAAAATAATCAACTCAAATTATTTTAAATCAATCAATCCATAGATCCCAATCGTCCATTTGAATTTAAGATGAGAAAGAGAGGGTGTGGTTAGGGCAGTTCGCACGTTCACCATCTCCCTCTAATTCGCAAAATTTAATCCCACACAACCGGTCGCGCTTTGCAGTTCGCAAACCCCAAGAAGCCCCCAGGTCCAAACGAATTCCCCTCCTCTCTCGGCTCGTGAGAAGACCCAAGCGGAAGAAAACCCCAGCCCTCGTCGCCTGCTATGTCTGGCGAAATCCCTCCCAATTCGCAAGAAAGGAGCGTCTCTCCTCTATTTTGCGGAAGTCCTCCCGTCTCACTCTCTCATTCGCAAGTAAGAACCGAAGGGTCTCCCTGCTCTCTTGCAACAAACTCAG